ATATATATAAAAGGTTTATATATATATATATATATATATATATATATATATATATATATATATATATATTTAAACAGTATACTTTGTTATAACCAAGAGAGGTGCCAAAAAATACCCTTTTTTCATGTACTGGCATCACCTGTATATGAGACTGTAGTTTAGTGGACATCAGTAGGACCAGTACAGTAGCTGCTGTTTGAATTTAAAATTTTTTAGGCTCATTTGTATTGGTGGGAAAAGAAATTTGGGAGGTTGAGGGGGTTATGGTTAGGGCTAAGATCAGTGTAAGGAAAGGACAAGGGTCAGTTTCGCAAACATAACTATTGCATTATCAAAACATTATCCACAATAAATTGATTGCATTATAACAGTACCCATAAACTATCACATTAAATTAACTGGTCTTTGATAGAGGAAACAACAAATAAGATCACTTACACTGTATTGCATCAGTCCTGAAGATTGTAATAATTTTGCAAATTGGTTCAGAATAAGACTTACAAAGAGCATTAATTTATAAGGACAAGAGAATATGATGGCAAATATAATTAGTATTTAATAAATTAGTGCACCCTGTGCGAAATTATATGTTACATGTACTTTATACATAAATGTTTGTCTTTGATCAGATATGCTGTGCAATAGTTGTGATACGACTCTTAGTTTCAACTGATTAAGCAAAGATGACTACATCTTCTTAATCTGTCAGCAAAAGATGACCCCATCTTTCTGACACAGGAGTGTCCACTAAAGGAATTCTCACAATTTCTATACTGTACAACAGCAATATATTTTATATGTCTTGAACAGTAGTTGATGGTAAAGTTATAAAATATATATTGGAGTTTTCTAGGTACTTTTCATTTAGATATAATTTGCTGTGTAATAATCACCAGAAAACTTTCAGCTTCAACTGATTAAGCAAAGATGACTACATCTTCTTAATCTGTCAGCAAAAGATGACTGCATCTTTCTGACACAAGAGTGTCCACTAAAGGAATTCTCACAATTTCTATACTGTACAACAGCAATATATTTTTTATGTCTTGAACAGTACTTGATGGTAAAATTATAATATATATATTGGAGTTTTCAAGCTACTCTCATTTAGATATAATTTGCTGTGTAATAATCATCAGAAAACTTTCAGCTTCAACTGATTAAGCAAAGATGACTACATCTTTCTTATCTGTCAGCAAAGAATGACTGCATCTTTCTAACACAAGTGTCCACTAAAAGAATTCTCACTTTTTATACTGTACAACAGCAATTATTTTTTATGTCTTGAACAGTACTTGATGGTAAATTATATATATATATTGGAGTTTTCAAGCTACTCTCATTTAGATATAATTTGCTGTGTAATAATCATCAGAAAACTTTCAGCTTCAACTGATTAAGCAAGATGACTACATCTTCTTAATCTGTCAGCAAAAGAATGACTGCATCTTTCTGACACAGAGTGTCCACTAAAAGAATTCTCAAATTTTCTATACTGTACAACAGCAATGTATTTTTCATGCCTTGAATACTAAAAAATTTTTATGGTATAATTTATTGTGAAATTAGAGTAAAAGTTTACCTCTCAATTAGTATATTTATATATGCATTGTTAGTAAGGTAGAAAAATGCATTTAGTGTTTACATACTCTCTGAAATAAACAATGGAGACATTTGTAAATCCTACCGGTGATGGTACAGATACATCATTGATTTCCTCAATGTGGCGCTTTGTGGTGCTATTTCATTCGATTTAATGATAGCGCTAGAAGGCGCGCGCGGCATGTAATTTTGGGGCGACATTGAACCGGTATGGATTTGCCTAGTTTATTTAGGCATTCTCGAGCGCGAGCATAGAAGATTGATATGTCTTTCCATTCGAACGGACTTGGCTCTAGGTCGTTTTCTGTTGATGTTGTTCGATGGCTGTTTGCCGTCGCGGTCTCTGAGATCAGCGATATTAACCTTTGTACTTCTCGCTGGAGAACAAACAGAATGTCGCGCTTCCTTCGTGCTTTCTACCAGATTTTGGATATCCAAAAAGCAAGTCATTGTAAGCATACCAATTCTTGCTATAGTCTAAGCAATGCGAATATACTCGGTAGTACATTTCGCAAGTTGAATTGACTAGTCGCGCTCAAGCGGCTCAACAACTTCGCGGTTTTAGTCAAATGTTGGCGCGCGTTTGCCTTTATAACTCCTAAATGCGGCGTTGACAATCGTGTTTAGCTATTAAGAATTAATAAATTATTAGCCAGATCGACGCAGCTTATCAATATATAAACATAGAATGAAAACGGAGTATCAAATTACACTTGCACGAAATAAAGGAGCGAGTTAATTCAATTTCTACATGTCAACCCTCAAACACCTACCAAACAGATGCCATGGGAACGAACACTTTTTGCCTTAATTTTTTCACACATTGTGCGGGTCCTCATGCTCGTTTTCAATTCAATTAAATTTCAACGGTAAGTCGGTAGGTAATACTCATGTCAATATCATCATACTGTCTCAATTTCATTAAATCATTTCTGTGGCTGTTTTTATAAGATGTTATGTCTTTCGTTAGAAACCTTTCGATACTAGTATGTTCTAAAATTATATAAAAATAATATTTTTCTGGAAGAAAATTCTTGAATTAACAAACGGCAGAATAATTTAGGCGAGGGATTAAACAATGAAAAGCGGCCCCAACAGTTGAATAATGCGTAGTCATGACATGTATGTACTCCTTAATTAAGGGGATATTCATAACATAATCCATGCAGGGACAGGTTGGAAAGAAATGTCGTTAACACTTAACTACAGTTAGGGAAGGAATCACGCCAAGTCTGAACGCTGTGACTGCCAATTGTCAATTGGATAAAACAAAAAATTAACTTTAGCCCCCATTACACAACAGTCCCTCTTCTTTCACGGAACGACTCAGATTGGTTTGGGATTGCTTTTAAATATGACATATAAAAAGGATTTAGACTTTCACGTGCGTGTACATGCGTATGAAAAACGCGACAGCGAAAGGAGCCCCTATTAGCACTCAGGCAACCGGACACGGATGACATGGGCACAAGAACTCACCTTAGCCAGCAGGCGTGTAGTGTCAACCGAACTCATGCAACTATAGAAGTTAGACTTGTCGGTTAGATTTGAAGTTAATTTTGGTTTACCAACATAATAAATTTTAATGTACGTGAACACAGTCGACACTGGCAAAGTTTGGGTTTTCCCTGAGCTGAGAGCACGCACGAGTTTGCCATTTCATACTGCCATTCAATACAGCGAGTTGAAAAAAATGCCCTAATTGGAGTTATGTGTATTAATATAATAACTCAAGATGTATTTGAATATTCCAGTTATTTGGTAAAAGTAAAATATATTCTGATTGCGAGATATTTACTGAATTAAGGTTTTACGTTGACGAAGGCAATCACTATATATGGTGAATTAATAATATGTATGGGAAAATAGTAGCTATATCTCTTTATAGTTCATGCATGCATGGCGCTCAAAATTTGCTTTCGTATCTAACTTTTAAAGTTTCCGACAGCCCTACATATTTGACATGCCTGCCCACTTCCTCATCGATTGCACAATATCGACTGTTCAAGCCAGCATGAAAAACATTTCCGATTTAAAACCATATTTCATACTCTCTGACTGACTCACTCTGACTACATATCTGATCAGTCGGTCTACATATTTGTTCACGGCCAGGCTCCTAGATGACCTAAATATGCATGCATGTATACAGTGGTCTGGTCAGTCGCAAGTGTCAATTGAAATGCTGAACATTTCATATATATCTCGGTCATCAGATTACTTCCAAATAAAAAGTGTTTTGATAAATTGAGTTTGCTACTTAAAGCATCTTGCTTTTCTTTTATTTCGAACGTTTCCATAATATACAATAAATATAGAAACGGTCGAATTAAGTAAATACGTTTCCAATATAACCAGGGAGCAGCGTGGCAGCGTCTTCAAACAACTTAGCATCAAATGTGGTATAACAACTGCCTAAAATGGACAAGACACTTCTCGACGTTTCGACCATAGGCTCTTCGCCAGGAGAGTTAGTATGAATTGAATGATTATTAGGAATTCCAGAGTGATTCAAATCAACTTGTCAAAATTTAATTGGGAAGAAACCCAGAAGGAGCCCTTCGGTCGAGGGTTGATTGTCACCGTCTTTTTTTTAAAGTTTTGAATAAAATTCATAATGATCAACGGCAAAAATCGTTATGAATACTAAGCAGCTTCCATTATAGCCTCAAATTGTTTTCCACAATCGTTTATGCCTCATTCCGGCAGCAATTAACAGCATCGATCAACGGACAGATCAACATCGAAAACAGGACAAATATAATCTATTCACGCGGAAGCTGCGAATAAACAAGATCATTTGTAATTTATCATTAATAATTGCTCTAACATATGATGAAAAAATTACTATCAAGCTTGTCTGCCTACATTCAGAGTCTATAAGATGACTTTGAATTTGAACTAAAACGGAAACCCCAAACTAGGACCATGTTAAGACTACAGTATTGTATACGATTGATTTAAATACTTGTATTCGGGCTGATCAGGAAATAATTCCAAATTTGCTAATAACGATTTGAATTAATGAAAGTAACTCTGATAATACAATATTATGAAGAAATAGCTAAAGTTTAAAGATTGTACAGTGAATCAAGTCAAAAGATTCTGAAGTTAGAATTTTAGAGTATGAGATATCATCTCTTATTTGCAATATGTGATGCTAGTATATGGAAATTTTTTTAGTCTTCTATGTTCTTGTGCAAATAATCTGGTTTGTCACTGATCAACTTAAGTGGCTTTCCCGCTGTCATAATTAACATGATGCTTTTTATTCTGGCAGTCCTTGTGATTTGGCGATGGTGCGCCAAGTGGGCTCGACACCGCGACACGCAATGATAGAGGAATGCATGTAACGAGGGGAAATACGGTTTAAATTTTAACGGTCATGCATTGTCAAACGGGGCGTATAAATGGGCACGCACGCCAGAGCCGTTTGTCATTCAGGGAAGGGCTCGCGACAGAACTATATCAAAAGAAAAAATCTTTAATATCGAGGTGTAATTTTGGAGTGGCAGACCAACACTAAAGATGAAGCTGTGGCTGGTACTATTGGCATTCGTTCACTGCGGACTAGCTATAGGACTTTATGATGAAATAGATGGTATGTGGTATTTAATGATTAAACTATACTCTATGTATATTATATGATCATGAGAAGGAATTTTTTCCGCGATTTTTATTTTCTTATGATTTGAGCACAATTCGCTACTTTTGTAAATTAATTTTTTGGAATCAGTTTGGAATCAGTAGCTGTAGCGTGGGCCGGGCTTAGTATCTCGATGCTAATATTTCGTTATTAATCAAAAAGATTGTAAGAACAATATCCATTGCTAAAGAAATAGACACGAGAACTTGCATTCACCACGAGGTATTTTTGTATCTTGGACGGTTGAGTTACCCAATATTTCAATATTGTTGAATTATACCTAATATAGACTTAACCAATATTCTCGTAGTTGCATGGGCAAATTTCTCTGCATTGGTTGCTGCCATTTCACTAAGTTTTGCATACCCGCAATATAATAATACAGCATTGCATACCCGTTCATTAATTATTTTAAACACTGGAATACACTCAGGCGATAGGATGTTTGTTAAAGATCATGCATACGCTGTTAAAAATTGGTATAGGCTATTATTACGTATAATTCTTAGTTATTAGGAAGTTAAATTAATGCTAAACGCAAAAAATTATCCTGCGTCCAAGTACATGCTTCCCAAAGAGGCCATTTCCGCCTAACCAAGTCTTCTGCTTGGCACATGTTTTTGTATTAAATTAACATGCAAGTATAATACTGTGAGCAATCTTTTATAGCAATCTTCTGCTGACACATCACAATCTTAAGCAATCTTCTGTTGACACATCAATCACATTTTCCCTCGTTTGTGTCTCGAAAAATTCAAATATTTCGGCAAATCTGTTTTAACGAGTTTATGCATCATAGTCCTTTGTGCGTTTTATTTGAATGTTCTGATAAGAGTGAATTTTTTAACCATAAGTCATTACATTGTTTTTGAAAGGACTAAATCATGATATCTTAAATAAATTTTGAGTATAAATTCGAGATGAACTGAAAGATCACTTTGTGCTTGATAAACACGCATTTCCCCTGTGTGTGCATTTCCCCTTTTCAACTGACGGAAGTTACTTAAAAGTCATTGTAGATTCCTTAGTGTGGGGAAATTAACTAGTTGGAAACGACCAGCCTCTTTTACGCAATGTTAGCTCTAGTTCGTATCGTACTTCGGTTGGGATAATTGCATGTAAATTAGCTCGGTTTCAAATTCAAACCGTCGCATAATATTATTTGCTTCAGTGATCAGGAGACAAAAATTTTACAGTTACATAGTCTGACTTAGCCTATTAAGGGGCTGTTTACATGAGCCCGGTTACCCGAGATTCAACGAAGCGTGAGAGGACTTTGAGGTATTAAAATAAGTCTTTATGATACCAAACAAGCACATGCTATTGTTGCAGTGATTATACGACTGCCAGGATCATGTTATCTGCTCATTTCAATACCTCAAGATCATCTCACGCTTCGTTGAATCTCGGGTAACCGGGCTCATGTAAACAGCCCCTAAAATAATAATTATTTTTGTACAGTGACATTATATAAGTGTTCACACACACACAGTGTTCTAATATTCAAATTGGATGTTAGAACTTGCGAATATTGAAAACTTTTGCAACGATTTCAAAATAACTTTGCATCCAATACAATGCTTCGTAGATCGCATTATCAACTATTGACTCATTTATACTTAAAGAAATAGAAGTGCAACCAAAAAAGGCAATCAACTTTGATTGAATCCCATGCGAGTAAATAGAAAAGGTTAAGCGGAATACCAGCCAAACAATGCCAATGTCAATGCTGTCAAACTCGAGGGTCAATAGCACATCAAAGGAACAAACAAACCGGACATCACATGTAAATTTTGCAAAATGCTTTTTATCGCAGCTTCTTTGTAACCCTTCCCGTTTGTACTTGGTGTGATCAATCTTATGCCGCTTAGTATACAAAAGGTTTAGCGGCAGTGGCGGCGCCAGGTCTGAAAATTTGGGGTGGCATTTGAGGAGCAAATTAATATTTTGGGGGGGCAAAATCCTTCAAACAGAAATCCATAAACCGGTGTGTAATAGATTACGATGTGTCAACAATTGACAGTCACGCCCATTTTATCCTGTAGCTATTTTGTATTTCAATTTATTACTATTAAATATTATCTTTTACGGCAATAATTTCCGCAGACATTTGAGAAAGGGGGGGGGCAAAATTGGGGGGGGCAGAAAATAATATGCCCCCCTTGGCGCCGCCACTGTTTAGCGGAATATACCAGCAAAGCAATGCCAATGTCAATGCTGTTAAACCAAAGTGTCAATAGTACATCAACAGAGCAAACAAACTCGACTACACATGTAAATTTTACACACTGCTTGTTCGCCCAGCTTCTTTAAGCCTTTCCGTTTCTACTTTGCTTAATGATAACTTGTAATTAAAATTGCCTTTGATTAAATCTTTCAATGTTTAAACCATTTATAATAGACAATGCCATTTCCCTGCGTAAAAACGACAATAATGTTTCGATCGCAAATGCTATCCATCGATATTCTTCATAAAAGGCCATGTTACCCGGTGCTAAAATTTTCTTGCAACTTCAAATGCAATTCTACTTTTAAGAGATGTAAATTAGTGAAGAGTCTTCAATTAGTAAGTGTAAGAAATGCCATGGAGTGTAATAAATACAACATGCCTTAGTATCCTTCACTATTTTTTTATCTTACTTAAATATTAACCGAGAGAAACTTCACCGCCAAAGAAAAATATTTTCGAGCAAAAGAACTTCATCAAAACTGAGAATATGAAGGCCAAAAACTGTGTTCTAGTTGTTTTCCCCGCTTGTGACATATTTCCGATTCAACATGCTTCGTGCATACCTTACATTGCTGATCTAAGAGTTAATTGGCTGGTTATGAGCTCCTAAAAATGCTGACTCCACAAAGGCGCTTGCTTTTTCAGACTCTCAATAAATTATCAAGAGTTTACGATTTACGACAAAACACCGAAGAACACCAATTGTTTTAAAAATCTTCCCACAATACAAAAAATATCAATACTGCTTGGTTTTGGAAGTAGCTATGATCTGGCAATCTTCAATGTCCTTGTTTCCGAATTCAATAGAAAAGCCCCCTGCGCAACTTTGATGCGTTAATATCATAGGCGTGATTGGCATGGTAGGCATGCATGGTAGGCATGCATGGTAGGCATGCATGGTAGGCATGCATGTTAGGCATGGTAGGCACAATAGGCATGCATGGTAGGCATGGTAGGCATGCATGGTAGGCATGGTAGGCATGCATGGTAGGCATGGTAGGCATGCATGGTAGGCATGGTAGGCATGCATGGTAGGCATGCATGGTAGGCATGGTAGGCATGCATGGTAGGCATGGTAGGCATGCATGGTAGGCATGGTAGGCATGCATGGTAGGCATGCATGGTAGGCATGGTAGGCATGCATGGTAGGCATGCATGGTAGGCATGCATGATAGGCATGGTAGGCATGCATGATAAGCATGGTAGGCATGCATGGTAGGCATGCATAGTAGGCATGGTAAGCATGGTAAAAATAATGTTAAAAAATAAAAGTAAGTTTAGATATAGCCTTATATATAGGCCTAGTACAAGAACTGTCGGCATGCATGCACTGTTAACGGTTGGTGTAAAAGTAACCAAACACTGTATTCTTCAGTGCTCGTTGAAAATTATGGCCGCTAAGCATTACTGCTAATGAGTGATGATCAGTATATATTCGAAAACGACGGTTCTACAGCGGCTAACGTTGTATTTGTACATAATTCCATTAAGTTCAAACTATACCTTGAAAAACATAGCGATATTCCATCGTTTAATTCTGCATGTCGTGTTTCTTTCTCTCCCAAAACAGATTCTCGTATTTGGCGTCGCGGAGGACCGTCTGTATCCAAAGGCCCTGATAAAGGTATAATCAATTGACCTTTTTCATAATGACGTCAAACGCGGAAAATCTGAGGCAACATGAAGTTTGATTGGCTCGATAGTTTTGTGGAGCCAATCAAATTTCATGTAACATCAGCCTTTCCGCGTTTGACGTCATTATAAGACAGGTCTATTATAGTACAATGACTATGTATGGTGGCAAGAGTATAAGGAAACATGGGTTCGTCAAAGAGTCTATTCTAATTTGCATATCTGCATTAATAAAACTTATAAAAGCCTCAAAGCTAATGATAAACGCGTACATATATACTCTTCATAGAAAGCAGGAGCTTGCTATAACCTCTTCACTTAACACAAATACTCACTTTCAATACGCCATAGGCCTAGATCATAAAGAATTTCTTTCTATTACACTTTAGAATGCATAAGAGACATCCTTGTGATCTGGGACAATTCCCAATCTGTCGGCATCGGCAACTTCATGGATAACGTGCGGCCGTTTCTCAGAGATCTAATTGATGACCCAAAGCTAAATGTGGGAAACGAAGGCACTCATATTGGTTTCATCACATTCGCAAGTGACGATAAAACTCGTGAACTGTTGAAGATTGGGTCAAAAACTAGCAAGAGTGATTTAAAAACGTGGCTGAATGGTTTGGACTACAGAAAGGATTTGATGGGCCCATTTACTTACACTGGAAAAGCATTCAAGCTTGCAAGTGATGTACGTAAGCCAATATCTAATCTCTGCTCATGAACATTCTCAGCATTCTTAACCTTTAGTTAATTATACAGATTTGAACACATCACACCGTTGTAATGGCGGCTCAATTTCTTCATTTTCTGGCGCGGCCATTTTGTAAACAGACTTCATAATTATCCTGGTTAAAATAACTATACAATCCGTGAAATACTCTATACATCCTTTTGTTTGACTGCTTTCGTTTGCTGTGGTAATGTTTTACGTTTACTAGAAAACACATTGAACGCCATTTTTTAAACAATAAAGCTGAGCCCGCCAAATGCGAGGCGTATACTTCAACTAAACATGAATATGAGGGATTTGGCGTAGTTTTTGGGTAGAAGGTTATCTGCTTACATATATGTGAACACAGTTTTTTGAACCCAATGGGCTCCCAACACCCTGATCGGAAAATCTTTTTAGATTTTTATGAACTCAATCAGAATGCATAAATTTAGTTTACTACTTCCCGTAAAAAGGTACCTTCCTTATTCATTATTTTACATAAAAAATTAAAAATTTAGGCATTTTGATTGGCTCTGCCTAAAAATGTTGATAAATATGCCTAAAACGAAATTCTCCCTTGATATTTCATCGTTTTTTTTAATATGATTAATTGATGATTGTTTATCTTTATATTTTCGAAGGAGTTCCATCTAAAAAATCCATTAAATCATCGCGCAGATATACAAGACGTTGTTTTGTTATTCACCGATGGAGAACCCAGAGCAAGAAAGAAAGCTTGGATTCGAGAACAATATGCAATGGCTAATAGATACTCGGCAGAGCTGATGGGAAATGGTATCTATATCACTGCCTTGGCTGTGGGAAGAGAAGCAAAAAAGCCTGAATTCAAGAGAAATATTGACAAGTGGTCGAACCACATGTTCATCGCAGCCTTTAAAGATTTAGACAAGGTTCTGGATAAAATTGTCAAGAAATCCTGTGGCATAAAACCATGTAAATTTCTATTCTTTTTGTAATATTACCTTTTTCTCTTTTCCTCTCTCAATCCATATTTGTATGTGAGTATATACTCATGATTGGATCTTCAGTTTTGAGTAGAGACAGCCATTGATGCTTTTTTACTTTTTCGCTCAGTAATTATGTAAGCAGGCAGACTTTCATGACGTATTCCGAATCTGTTCTCCTGATATAAGTCATTTTTTCCACGATTCAATGGCTTTTAAGAGGAAATATCAGCATAAAAATGCGCCTGTTAAGATATAAATTTGCATCCAAATTTTCATTCTTCGCAGTGGCTTGTTCTTGCGACGGCAAGGTTTCAACAGAGCAATACACAAAGCCTGGTGAAAACAGCATTTCTCTGCGATGGAAGGAACCTCAGTTGAAGTGCGATAAACCAGTTGACCAACGGAAGACAGTACACCCCGCTGACACCCGCAATCCACAGCGGTTTGGGGTGGGTACCCACGAAATAACGTACAGATTCACGTACACAGATAGCACCGGCAAGACGGTCAGCCAGGATTGTTTTTTTGAAGTCAAAGTTGGTGGTAAGTATATGATAACAATAAATATGCTCACAATTATCGTTAATTATTAATTTTTTAAAAGCTAATTTATTCATTTATAAGAATTATGTAGTTAATATATTTAAAACAGATCGTAACGATAGAATACGTTCTTAGATACCCGGACCTAGATACGGTCATGCACACATTATCTACTCTACAAGTATCATATAAACACAGTTATATAAAATAGTAAATATATATGTAACAGATAAAAGGGTAATACTAAATACTGATGTAGAGGAACAAGGGTGAATTTCGTCTCAATCAGAATGCATAAATTTTCACTATTCCGGTAAAAAGTACATTATTTACCATTTTACATGAAGTATTAAAATGTAGGCATTCTGATTAGCTTTGCTTAAAAAATGTAAGAAAATATGCCGATTGGTTTAGAGCGAACCCCCCCCCCTGTTATTTAAAGGTATATAGTTATCATATGTGCACTGAAATGAAAGTAGCACAAGACTTTCGAATGGAATATTATCTAACGTGTTGACAATCTGATTGTGACTCTTTTTCTTAATTTGTCTAGCTTGCGAGTGTCCCAGTTCACAAACAGTGAGTGCAAGAGTGAAAATTGGCGAGACAAAAGCTTCTGTTAGTTGGTCGGAACCAGTTCCCACTTGCCCGCGAGTCACAGCAAGTCCAAGTAATCCGAGGCGTGCCGGGGGTCAGTTTCCTGTCGGTGAATTCACGCGCACTTACAAGTATACACACACCACCGAATTTCAGAGCTTTGAGATACAATGTGACGTGAACATTGCTGTCACAGGTAGGCCTACGACTGCTGTTGATTATCTCCGTACCGAATGGTCTTAGAAAATTTTACAGAATGCATATCTTGACGTGCACTTGAGAATTGCATTTTCAGATTGCTATAAAAAGACGTCAGGATTGCTACAAAAAGACGCCTTACGATAGAAAATTACAGCAGTAGCACTAGCACTAGGCTCACATGGCACGCCCGATTTTTTAATAATCGCCTCATAACATTGCACACGTATATTTTAGGCGATTATTGCGGCACAACGGCTTACGACCCAGCCACTCATATTTGCTGCTGTGGAAAGCCTCACATGAAGAAATCTGGTTACAAGTGTTGTGGCACCAATTACTACAATCCTGGTAGCCTTATATGCTGTCAAGATACCAGTCTCGTCGTTGTTGGAGGACATTGCCCTTTTTAATGTAAAACACGTTTACTTTACAGTTAAACCTCACATTAAACTTTTTTGTTTGCTTTCGTATAATTATAATAGTATTTCGCTTGTATCTATTGCATCATTTGCATGAAATAGTGACACGCCAATGAGTTTGTGGGCAGCATGGGTGTTTATTTTAATACGATAACAATGAATAAAAATACAGTATGATTCAGTATGTATACATATATGTCTGTAGCAAGTGGTAGTAAATGTATCTTGTTATATCATTAAATGATCTTTCAACTTCAGCAATGTGTTAATTAAATGGTTTTTTGTATTATACGGACTATACTTTCAGTTTTCGACCGCGCTATATCTACACTAGCTATTTGACTATATTTTTCCTGTCCCATAATAAACTATAACCAGAAAATATATGAAATATTTAATGTATTAATTTCTGCTGCTTGGTATAATCGGTTAAATATTTCCCGCTCCCATGATGTCATCACCATTGTTGTGAAGTCATTACATGGCATAAGACAATTGATCACATTAAGTAAGAAAAAAGTCGTATTCCATGTTCTGACGTCACTTAATAGACATGACGAAGTCGTGCATTGGATATTCATTATTTTAAACAAATAATAATCGTGTATATTCATTTAATTAGTTCAGTTTTGTAACACTCATCAAAGCAGTATATAGTGTCTTTAGGCGATATGACTGATGCGCGTGATTTTGAAATGATACTTCTTAAACTGTAGCTTTTACTTTTCATTAGCACCATTTGTTGATATATCCAGAAGTTGTTCATATTCAAATCTTGCAAACTTATCTATGTTTTCCAATTCCAATGCTTTTTTTGCGTATGCAACTGCACGTTCGGAATATGGTTGAATCAAATGCAGAATGACAGCTAGATTTAAATATACCTTTGCCTTGCAAGCATTTGGCTTTTCACTTTCCGAACGTTTCTCTGCCAAGTCCCGAGCATTCTCCAGAACTTCAATAGCTTCCTCTAGCCGCCCAATTTCCTTCAGGGAAATTCCTAGATTGTTTAGTAGGTAAACATGACTTTCGCTAGCGTGCAGACCAAGATCCTCCCGCATTTTTTTAGCCCGAGTGTAATTTCGTACGGCGGCCTCATATCGCTTGGAGGTTAGGAACAGATCACCAAAATTCTTCAAACAAGCCGAGGTAAGTTCGTGTTCTCCAAAAACATCTTGCGACAGCTCCAAAGCTTCTTTGTAACGAATTTGGGCATTTTCCAAACCATCTGTAAAACTGATATGCCTTCTCCAATTAAGAGACTTCTCGCTGCTTCCAGAAATTCTTTTCCATGTATTTCCAAGTTGTAACAACGAGTAAACCTCGTCCGCTCTCGCCACGGACTCGCTGGGCAAAACTTTTCTCAATTTCAATGACTTTTCTAGCTCCTCGAGAGCTTTGAACTGTAGATCTAGACGAGCCTCACGATCCTCAGTCTCACTTTCAGCTTTACGAAGTAAATATCTGCCATTTTGGTAGTAGTAATGAGCACAAAGTGACTTGTCTTGCTTTAACTCTTCCTCGTGCGCAACGAACACTTTATTGATGTCTCCCATCATCGAAACAAACTTTTCGTCGGATTTACCAATTGTTTTGCTGCGTTCTTGGTCTGCTAACAAACAGTCAAAAGCTATTTTCTTTGCAAGTTCTTCCCTCCCTTGGGCCAGCTGTGCACACCGTTCTAAAAACTCGTCGACGATAGATCCAGGAATAATTGTTCTTACGAATAGGGAAAAGAATCTGGCCGATGTGGTATAGATTTCACTGTCCGCCATGCAGTCAGGGATTTGGGAGGTTGTCGGATCTGCTTGCTCGCAACACATTTTGAGCACGTGTTGGATGTTGTGTGCTTCTTGCTTTAAGGCTTCTCTGTTTTGCTTGTATCTGTCTTTGGAATAACTCTGCATAGTTAGGTCGTGTCCCAACTTTAGGTAATATTTCACCATCAAATACTCTGCAGTCGCTGATAGAGCCATATCGTGTTCGCCTTTCAGGTGATCGGTTAAAAAATGTTTGATCAAAGAATGAATGACGTATCGATTCTCCGGTGTCTTTTTGATCAAGCTGCGGGAAAACAAATTTTTCAGGATCCGTTTTGTGTCCAACTTGTCCTTCTCGATCACGACACCTGCGGCTTCTTCGCTAAAATCTCCTTCAAATGTGGCCCAACGTAGTGCTGCTTCCTTTTGTTCTTTATCCAGCCTGGCGTAAGACAAATGTATTGCCTTATGGACGAAGATATTGCTCTCAGGACGTTGCAGAGTTTTTAATGGTTGCTCTTTTAGGTAATGCAGAAATTCATTGGTATCTTCAAAGTCACCAACTTGAGATGCAGCAATGGACATGGCAAGGGGAATGTTACCACACAGTGTGGCTAGTCTTCGCAAACATTCATTATTCTCATCAGGGCATTTTTTTCTCAGAAATTCCATGCATGCTACTTCGTCCATCTCTTCAACATTCACTTGACTAACAATGAGCTCGGGAATCAGATAAGACGCTCTTGAAGTAGTAATCATCTGGCAATTTCCAATCTTCCTTAACAAGTAGAGGAAGTCGTAGAAATCAGATCGGTTGTTTTCTTCAAGCAGGTTATCGACATCATCCAGCACAAAAATGACTTTGGCTTTGGCACGTTTCAACCAGAGAAACAGCGATGGCTTTGGGTCATCGTGCTCGTAGTTAACTCCGACATCAAGACAGAGTCTGCGGACCATCTCATCCGCATTCTTGGCGGTAGTTAAATGAGAAAATATAACGAGAATTGTACGGTCTTCTCTGAGCTTATGCGACACTTCGATAGCTATTGCTGTCTTTCCAAACCCTGGTCCTCCATTAAGAGACACGACGGCTTGTCTGTCGTCAGTTAGCAAAGCAATGACGTTTTGGATCTCACTTCCACGAGCAGTGAACGTTAGTGATCTATCTGGCAATTTAGCTTGTTCTTGATCATCGCTAATGGCGTTCTCTCCTTCACTTTCCATTTCTGAGGTTGAGGAAGGCAACCTGCAACACAATGATATACTTGTCAAGGATGAGCTATATAGTATGTAAAAATACCAGATCTCCCACTAGTGAGGTTGATCAAGTTTTGAAAGAATTGCTTGCATCCGTTAAAACTAGCTGCAAAAGCGATCAGCGTCCTGTAGTTGGGATATTGGGAGGCTCTTATATCAAAATTCTCTTCTCTAAGAGAAACAACGTACGTAAATTTTTGGTACGTAAAATCCAAAACGCACTGTCAGTCGCTGGTTTTTAAATGCATGAAACACTATGTACTTAAACTGAAGTAAATATATCTCCCCAATCAACTGTGAGATCCACATGTATTTCCACTGGATCGAATAGGAATATATAAATATATGAATAAGCTCCCCCCCCCCCCCCCAATTAATCTTCCGGCTACAGTTCGAATTCTCGTTTTTATCACTGAAAGTTTTCGCGATGGCAAGAAAGTAAAAAATGCAAAGCAATATATGAACAAGATACTCTATAGTGGCAAAGGCATATTTAATTGGAATAGAATCAGGAAAAACTGAAAATAGCGAAATAAAGGAATATTATTCCACCGGAACTATAGATGTGATATTTTTTGCCGTTTCTGGTGTTGTTATAAACTGTTGTGCTTAGAAATTAAAAGAATTGGGGTGGGATAAAAAAGAACTAACACATGGCTAGAAATTTGATACACTTGTTGGTTGTTTTATTTGTACACCGGCGCACACCAGAATGACGCCAAACCTGCGAATTCAAGATGCCAAATTTAGGTTAAGGAAAAGTCATGATATCACTCATGTCAATTACAATCACATTGCGTAACAACAAATAAACTGTTAAATTGCATACTTGTTGAGCGTAGCGGTGCAGCCGGATAATTTTGACAATTAATGCAAATTTAAAGTTATCTTAATTATTATTCATTTCTGAAGGAATTGATTGCTTTCGAAGTGAATAAACAGCAATATATTAGCATAACAAGGAATAGGTTTTCAAGCTGAACACGAAAAAAATACGATTCTCTATAATAGCATTTAGAACCGGTTTAAGTTACAGAAGAGTCGAGTATTTTTGGATACAAGTCTGGTTGAGTATGTGCTTTGAAGAACAAGACTTGTAGACAAGGGAACGGTTGTACTGATGACAATATTTTAAGGTTATGCTGCTCTCAGAATGTCAACAAATGGCAGATTTAACACTTTGTTGTCGTACAGTTTCACTAACATTTTAAAGCGGTTTGCTCATTGAAAATACGTCTTATTTTACCGCATTGTGATGGTTGGAAAACCGAGATTTGTACATCATACAAATTAAATTTGGCGAGAGAATACGGATGACGGCTGGACGGGTAAGTCGTGTTTATCTTATATACTTCTAGGTCTAATTAAATATGCGCTTTTTATGCCTCATGCCATATTGACGTTATCTCATTTCTGATCATGATATGACAGGATATGCACCCTCCCACTTAGGTCATCCATGTTTTCGTTTCGCTTACACGACATTTCGCTTGTCGCGAAAATTTCGTTGAGCTTTAAAGCGTATTGGTTTGAGAGACTTTTGTCTATTACTATTAGGATCTTTGACAGTGATGTGCTGCACAGTTCTGCACTGTCTTCGAATAACTACAAAGTTTGACCCGCTGCCGGAAGCAATCGAGTATAGTATAGTGTAAACAAAACTCCAATTTCGACCCTGCGTATTCTTGCCCATAGGTTGTCATGCCTAGTGCTCAGTCTTATCCTCCTAGCTATATTATAATCCACAGTTTTATTTACGATTTTCCCACGAGTGCATGCTGTTTGATAATAATACTAACTCAGCCGGAATTGCTTTTCAGTTCATGAAGTTACATCATATTGCAAGGCTTCCCAGATAGTTCAATTTGATGACAAAATCTCATATGCTCCTAATAGTTAAGTGTTTGAACTACAGCTTGTTAATAAACCGTAGACAATAAGACAGGATAAATCAATTACTTCTTTCAAAGCACAGCACGCGACAAGTGTTTCGGAATTTGCGCTATGCAACTTTGCGTGGTTCCAATCTGTTTTAATAACTGTAAGAATTGAACACAGAGAAAGCGAAACTTCATCGCAAGCATCATCGCTATTTTGTTCGGCAGGATACTAGTTGTGTCGTGAAAGAAATCGTTAAAGCAAAATGAATAGGCCTGTGTTTAGTTAAACGAGCGCAACAAATCCGGAAAGATTTAAGGGCACTTTGATTTTCAGCATTCAGCGAGCAAGCATTCAATCATATATGTAAAATGTATACTCAGAGATACATCTCTTATACACCCTATTTTACCGGTGTGGAACGTATTAGTTTATTGCCTTCTTTGTAATCTATCGCTGTCAACATTTTACAGACAAATAGAAATTGCGAACTTGAAAGGTACTATCGTTTTACTTTCACTTACATTATAGTTTGTTCAATACACATCTTGTCTGTATACTGCATATTTTTTACAAAATATCAGCATATTTATCATTTCGACAAAGGCTCAAACGGCTTCTCTGTTAGTTTGAAAAGTTCTAAGCTACTGTTATTTAATCGTTCAACAAATTTCTTTTTTGATGGCGACGTTTGAAGCGACATACAAAGTTATACTTAGCCTAGCGATATTTCTTGTCATTAATAAAATTCTTACAGTCGACATGTAACTGTAGTATATAAGTAGCCATTATTCTTTTATAAATGTTAGAAACTGATACAAAGAAAATACAATACAAAGTATATGGAAATATAGGTTATGTTTCAAGATATATTAAAGCTATATTACAATAGCTATATCTAATTTATTAAATAAGCTATATTATCGCGTATTTGTTTACCTGATGATCGGTTTACTTGTGCACGGTTTCTACAGGCCTCGATCAGATATCAACCACGCCAAGTAAGATATTGGTTTTCCAAGTATTAGGTATTTTGATCTCAGTGAACGTGTTTAAACCTGACATGGTGTTTTGAGAATCCGCTCAACGACTTCCAGGAATCCCAACCAGTTTCATTTTGTCATTGCACGTCACATATCACGGTGCAACGAAACTGCGTCACACTTCCTTTTCTTAATCCATATTACGAATTGCAGTGCGTTAATTATATACATAATTAAGACTTAATTTAGTTAGTTCACAGTTGCGTTTGCACATCGGTTCTGCTATAGCTGATTTGAACAGGACATGATATGATAAAGAATATATATATATATAGCTGTTCAAAATGCAAATAAAGCTTATGTCTGCCCACCTGCTCGGGATAATGCCACCATCAAAATAATACAATTGGGAATTCGAAAATGTATACCTTGGGAAATGACTAATAGATCATTAAAATTAGGGGTGAAAGTATTGTACATGGTCCCCGTTACTTTAAACTTGAAAACTAGAAATAATTTTGAGGTAATGAAACGAATATAGCTATAACAACATTCTGGCTATATAGTAACGTTTCATGCAGTATAAACAAACGCTTTGTTTACATTTCGAACTTATGTGTATACAAGAGTGCAATGGAGGCCCTCGGGAAAGCGTGGAAATTGAAAAACTTTGGAGAAAGAATCATCCAAGTTTTGTCAAGTGAAAACAATAATTACAAGTTATTAATGCACATAATAGAGATTTGAATGCTTTAGATGATTCCCAGCATTTTGCATCATTTCGAAACTTTTATTTTTGGCGAGCAATTTTGTTTGTTAGTTTGTATGGCATGGTCGAAAGCTTGAATAGCGTTTGAGTTGTTTCTAGGGGGATTATGTTATGTAATCAGACTAGAAATACATGCATGCAGCAACCTCTCGCTATTTCAAAGCAAGTACATAACCGAGTATATATAGCTAATGTTTCCATCATTCGATACAAAAATAGTCATAAAGCTAATGTAAACATTGGCCTTTTTTGCCACAATATGCCATGGCAGCAACAAAATAAAGGTTTAAAAATGAAGTTTCAAACGATTAAAACAGTACAAAATCATCAGAGACAAAGTAGAAACCTCAAATGTTATTTTATTCTGTTATGGAGTCGACGGCTAATAGTTTTATACTTATAGTGTGTATTTGTGATGTCAAAATTCAAAAACACTTTTTTAAATTAAAGCAAAGGTGTAATAGCCCTTCACAGTTGGTTTATGCGTTTGCATATAAAAACCTGAAAAACAAACAATACATCGATATAATCTATATAATATATACATATTGACTATTTATACATCGATAGATATTATCAATAATATGGAAACCATTATAGTCATTTTTTAATGATTTAATAATTTATTCGATACATATTTATTATTCTAGAGCTAAAGGAGAAACGAAGGTGATTTAGCAAGGCATTATTTTCCCCGAAGGGAAAGGCTGAGTCAGTCAGTTTTCTATATTTTATAAATTACGTGAGTTAAATTTAATTTCACAGCGTAACATATTAATGTCACATTATCAGCTTGGCAATTGAGGAATATAAGATACCGCAGAGAAGGGATCGATTGGTGTTACAAAAGCTGTTCTAGGTTTAAATTTAAGTTGTATAGATTATTGGAGATGAAATGTTCAAGTAATTGGACATGCATATGACAGATATAACAATGCATTTTTTCAATAAAAAAATGTGTGAATCAGGAAGAAATACTCTTCGATGTCTGAATATAAATTCCCCACCACTGGCACTAGTATGAAAAATCCCTTTTTTTCAAATTGATGATTCAAATCAGTGGTTTTCTGCATCGTGCGATGATAATTTCTGTAGCATTTCGTAATCATGCCCCAGAACTTTGCTTATATTTTTAAATTTCATTGCTTTTTTAGCATATTTAATGGCATCCTTGGAAAATTCCTCTATCGAATGGTAAGTAAGAGCTAAGTTTGCGTACACTTTTGCTTTGCAGTAATTTAACTTATCGATTCCAGCAAGATCCTCTGTCAATTCACGGGCTTTCCCTAGGAAATCCAGAGCTTCTTCTGGCCTCCCGTCTTTTGTCAAGCATATTCCAAGGTTGCTTAGCAAAAAAGCATAACTTTCACCAGCCTGCAGTCCAAGATATTCTCTCATGTTTTTGGCCAAGGTGAATTTTTCTTCAGCTAATTTATAATGCTTGGTGGTTAAAAAGAGATCACCAAAATATTTGAGGCACGTTGATGTAAGTTCATGATTCCCCAGGATAGTTTTTGACATTTGAAATGCTTCTTCGTGATACTTTTGCGCTGCTCGTAGCGCGTTCTCACGATTTATTTTGGGGATTCGGAACATTTTCTTCCAAATGTTACCAAGATTTAGCAATATAAAAATCTTGTCTGCTATTTCTGTTGGCTTTTCCGGTTTGCACCTCAATTTCAGTGAAATTTCGAATTGTTTTCTTGCTTGAATCTGTAAAGGTTTACGTTCCTCACGTTTAAGATTTTCGGCTTTCCTGGAAAGATATCTCCCGTACTGGTAATGATAGTAGACAAGAATAGATACGTCTTTCGTACATTCGTCGCTGTACACGTCGAAATCTTTTATAATTTCTTCCATCTTCAAAATATACATTTCGTCAGATTCCTCAATTGTTTTGCTACGTTCTTGGTCTACTAGCAAACATTCAAACTTGATTTCGAGTGCATGTTGCGTCCTCTCCCTGGCAAGTTGCGCGCAACGTCGTAGAAACTCGTCGACGAAATTTGCTGGAATGATTGTTCTGACGAAGAGCGAAAAGAATCCGGCCGAGGTGGTATAAATTTTACTTTTCGCAAGGCATTCAGGGATGTCGGAGTTTGCCGGATCATCTTGCTTGCAACAAATTTTGAGCACATTCTGGATGTTGTGGGCGTCTTGTTTCAAGGCTTCTCTGTTTGGCTTGTAACCGTCTTTGGAATAACTCTTTATAGTTAAGTCGTGTCCCAACTTCAGGTAATATTCTACCATCAAATATTCTGCACGCATAGCTTGAGCAACCGCATTTTCTGCCGATTCATGATTGCCTGTTTGGTAATCCTTTAAAAACAACTTTATCAGTAGATGAATGGAGTATCGATAATTGGATTGTCTTTTTATCAAGTTTCGCCCAACTAGATTCTGTAGGATATTGCATGTTTTTCGCTTTTCTTTTTCAATTATGACGTGAGCGGCTTCTTCGTTGAAACTTCCTTCAACTGTCGCCAAACGAACAATAACCTCCTTTTGTTCTTCATCTAGCCTGGCAAAAGACGAATTTATGGTTCTATATACGAATAGCTTGCTTTCAGGGCGTTCCAAAGTATTGTATGGAGATTCTTCTAAGTAATGTAAGAATTCATAAGGATCCTCAAAGTCGTCAATCTGAGATGCGGCAATAGACATAGCAAGAGGAATATTGCCACACCGTGAGGCTAATCTTTGCAAAAATTCATCGTCATTTTCAGGCCATTGTTTTCTCAAAAGTTCTATGCATGCATCATCGTCCATCTCCTTGACATGGATTTGTTCAATCGAGATATCAGGAATTTGATATGCCAAACTTGATGTTGTAATTATTTGACAATTTCCAGCCTTTGCTAACGAATGCAGGATGTCGTGGAAATCAGGGCGATTGTTTTCTTCCAGCAGGTTGTCAATACCATCCATGACAAAAATGACTTTAGCCTTGACACTTTCCAACCAAAGGACCAACGGTGACTTTTGGTCATCGTGTTGATGATAAAGTTCGGGTTTTTCGCCAATATCATTACAGAATCTCTGGATCATTTCATCAACATTCTTTGCAGTGGTTAAATCAGAGAAAATAACAAGAATTTCACGGTTTTCTTTAAGCTGTTCCGTCACTTCGATTGCAATCGCACTTTTCTCGAATCCAGGTCCGCCATGAAGGGACACGACTTCATTACTTTTTTCATTTATCAAAGCAATGGCATTTTGGACTTCACTCTTACCAGCAATATACGAAAGTGATCGAACTTGTAAGTTACCCTGGTCTAGGTCATTGGTAAGCAATGACTCGTCTCTTTCGTTCATGGTATTGAGTAAGAAGACCTGCGACAGGTCTGCGACCTGTGATTGTCAAAAAAAGAGAAATACATCGTTAACTTAGTCATGCATAGATTCCTTGAAGTGTTTATGTTTATTTTAGTCTCTTTTGCCAAAGCAAAGGTGAGGTGCATTCACAAAATGCAAATTTAGTAAGGTGTAGACTGTAGAATATTCGTTTCCGTCGAATAACGGAGTGTGCTTTAATATCTTTCTGCTAAACGAAGTTTGCACGAGTATAAATTCCCGCAAATTTATTTAGAGATAGAGCAGTTCAGTCTGTTCAACCCTGGATAATCAATGCGTGTAATACCAAATACAGGCTTAATACCTTTCCGGGCTTTCCCTGGGATGAATGGATTTAATATTCAAACGTGGAAACCAATAGGTTTACACAAATTAATTATCATGATATAGTATAACCAGGTTGTTAACATGTAGTTTAGTCCACGATAGCATGGAGGCTGTAACTTAATATTCCTTGAATGAATCAGGGATTGTTCTTCAGTTTACCAATAAAATCGTTTCAATCCTGCTCATAAACTATTTCATGTCGAATAAATTATCTGTTTGTTGGAGTTATGTTCTAAAACTGAACTGCGTGCATGTGTGCGCGGGAAACTCTTTTCAAAGGTTGACACACCACAGGTGTCTGAGAATTTCCGCTTCGCACTTTATACTTGTGCTTTTATAAATCGAAACTTTAGCACGATTTCTTAATAATGTTTATTGTGCTTACAGACGGCTATTGTTGTGTTGTTAAGAGAATGAGAAAAACAAACATATTACCAGTCTGATAGCCTACATTGGTTAAACATGGGCAAAAGTCACGAATGAATGAGAGCATTAATTTCTGATCTAAATATTTCAAGACATCTTTCACACATCGTATTTCTCAGGCGGGGAACGAATTTGCAAACGGAAAGCCTCAAAATCTATTGCTTTCAACAATCAAGTAACTTTGATAGTTTCAAAATTTAATTACTATCAAGGTACATCTCGTCAGTACGCTAAAGTATATTTTGTCAAATAATGTAGTTCTTATAATATAGAATTATTATAGCACCACTGCATGACGCAGAGACATTTCCGAGTAAAAAATATAGTCTTAATCCTTGTCGCTTATTGGGAAATGAACCACTTTTAAGCCTGAGTTGGGTTGAACAAACTTTGTAAAATCGTCTTACAAAGTCAGGAATTAGGTAAAATTTTGATTTTATGCGTTTAGTACGTACTTACTTAGCTAGAAATATAACGAATATATAGTCAAGCTCGTAACTAAATTATATACCTAGATAAATAGCTATTATATTTATTTCAAAAACCAATTTGAAACAAATATCGAAATAAAAAATCTGCTTTGTAAGCGAAAGTAAATCGTCCAAGAAAGCAAATTTTATAACGGAAGCTAGTTTATTCCTCATAATATAATTAGTTAATTAATAGCATAAAACATTAGTTCAGTTTCATCGCGAATTTTTCTTACCTGATGACAGTGCAAGGTCTTTGCAAGAAGTGTAGCTATATTCGACTTGTTGACTAACTTGATCAACAAGGAGCGTGTGAGTGTGGTCAGAACTTAACAATGGAAACTATATAACAGATTGCTTTCTAAGTATTTGGATATTTTTATCTACATTTCCTAATGAACGTGTTTAGACATGACAGTGTGCATTATAATCCGTAAAGAATTTCCGGAATCCTAAGCATTTAGTATCACTTTGTCATTAATTGTTTCACATTATGCAACTCTGTGTATTTAAACTGCGCCACACTTCCTTGTTTCGCTTCCTTGTTTTGCTTCTTCTAAGACTAACTAAGAGGCAGCATAATTTGTTTCGGTCATTCTTTGCCCAAAAAGTTGTCTTCAATTGCTTCAACTAATACTAACCAGATTTATTTTTATAGTAATATTTACTATCTAATGCAAGAGATAGCTTTCAAAGGGCTACTAATTATGCAACATTAAAGCGTCTCACATACTCATCGTAAAAACGAACAGCAGCGAGTTTGCGAGTTGATTTTGCGATGAGTGAAAAAGAGCCTGAGATCGCGGTTTGCCTTAAACCGCATGTGGATCATATGTGAGGGGGATTGTTCTTTTCCCGCTTTCAAACATTTAGGGGTGTTAGGGGATAGTTTGGGATATCTGAGGATAGAAAAAACTAGGGTTAGATAGGAGTAAAGAGTATAAATGAGTACAAAAAGACTTAAACTTTATATATAGTGTTTTCTCAACCCGCCCCCACCCCACATGGGCCCAGCTTCCGGCGCCCCCGAAATACTTTTGTACTCTTATACCCCATATTCACCCTACCTACATATCCATAGCTATCCTTTAGTCCCCCCAAATTTCCCTAAAGATTAATTTTAATTTGCAAAAGTTAACCGAATACAAACCTCTTTCGAGCAACATACCTACCATGTCTGTTTTCTTTCATCGTGATAAGAAACGTATCACACTGTTCCTGATCCCCCGATCTTACACTTGAAAGTCCGTGGTTTACCACAAGGCTAAATGGTGATTGTTGGAAGCCTGCCTTATTTTATTCAACCTAATCTTACCATATGTATTATTATTAATGAAAATTCAGCTGAATTAATGTTACTTTTATTTAATTTAATTTATCCTTTTCTCCTTTTCTCGAAGATAATAATGAAAAACAGTTTGCTTAGATCTACCTTCCAGATAGGCTTAACCACTAGACCACGAAATCTTGTGCTCAACGAAAATTCTTATTTAATTTGCTTAAATCTTTTCTTCATGGTCATGATGAAAAACATCTTTGTCTGGGCACATAATTTTCTTTAAGGTCATAACAAAAAGGATTTTCACTGAATTCGAACCATCTCCTTAACACTGCATGAGAACACTCTTGTCTTCCACAATACCCCCCAAGAACACGTACTGCGCGACTACGCTTATTTATTTTGCTTAATCATTTCCAGAAAAACATTTACAATCTATTACATTAGAAGCTATAGTTCAGCTCCGGTTTTCTGTTTCCTAATTCTTATATTATAGCTGATTACACAATAAGACAATCATGGGTCAAGAAAGGAAATGCAAGTCTACGTGTTACGAATCTATGTAAATTACATGGCACTTATATAAATTACATGGCAATGGTACATGCGCATCATATCCGGGACTGGGCAGGTATATGATTATTAAATCCGACTTCAATTGTTTCCAAAAAACTTGAATTCGAATCCAATCCGATAAAATCTGAATTGAAATAATGTATACGCGCTACATTTATCATTTATACACCTGGAGTGAGGGGGATTCCGCGAAATATTTCCCGAAGTGATGATATTTTCCGAGGGCTTTCCCCGAGGAAAATATCATTACTGAGGGAAATATTTTGCAGAATCCCCGGAGCGGAGAGTCTACAAATGATATATTATACCGAAAAAGTATAAATAGGGAACTGGGATGCGATACAGAGAAAAATATCCTCGTCACAAGGTACAAATAATGTTTTTTGATTGGGCAATTGGAATTTGAGGTATAATATAAATTAATATTATATCTCAAATGTAAATCATCCAATCAGAAAGCTCGATTTGTACCACGTGATCAGTAAATTAATCATGGAGTTCCATCGAATTTTTTCACATTATGCTATAAAAGTCGAATACCCCGCTATTCGACTTTGAGCGGGGTATTCGAGTTTGCGTGTACCACGCGTGGATGCCTCGCACACGACTCGAGGTTGTCAACAATTTCGAAATGAAGGCAAAAGAAGCCATTTCACCCAGCTTTTGCGCTGCCTACACGTTGTTTCGATATAATATATATCCGGCGAAGCCCTCGGGATATATCTTCCCTTGGGGGTAATATTTCGTCGAATTCCCCGAGCGGAAGGTCTATAAATGATAAATATCATATGCAATTGTAGTAAATTGCCCACATATTATTGCATGACCTTCATGATCTTAAAATGAAATTCGATAAAATTCAACTTATCACTTAGGCCTCCCTGACAGACCCGATTAGCAGAATACGTTTTTTACCTTCAAATCTGAAAAAAAATGGATCGGATTCGAATTGAGTTGGCACCGGATTTGCACACTTCTATTGATAATGGGTTGTTCAGCTAAATATACCGAATGAATGCGGGGTCTTTGCGGTATCAAGCCGAGGTTTTGACTGAGCGATAGTGAGGTTTTGCGCTTCAGGTGATCAACAAGCTACAGCAGGGGTGGATAAACACTAGTGCGATAATTTGCATTACAAAACAAAATGGCTATTTCGAGCAGTTTTCTTGTGCCATGCAAATTAGTGCACTAGCTAGTGCTGGATCCACCCCTGAGCTACAGTACAGAGGTAATAACTCGAGCCCCATATATACATAAGCTTACAATAGCGACATAAATTATATGGTTATATAAATATAACTCCAGTGAACAGCGCTAATGGCACTATATGCTTAACTCGACTCATAGCTCAGTGAGCTATGTTGCAGTTCAAGATTTAAAGACATTTCGAACTCTATAATTATGGGGGTGGTCATTGTAAGGACCTCCTTTTAGTATACTGGTTTTAGAGCCTATTTTAAGCCGCAATGGTCGTTTCACGCTGGCCTACAATTTCCTTCTTGACGGAGCAGACAGACCCACACCCCTCCCACTTTGTACCCCTATGATGCTGGAAAATACTGTAAATCAATTTAATTTGTGATGGGCTCCGGTACGAGAAAAGAAGTAATAATTTGGTCGTCATCTTTGAGAAAATTACGTCTTACTGGAGGAAGTAGCTCGATTATATAGGATGCAAAATTCTGGGAACGTAATAAGTAGCCCTCTCATTATACGAATTGAATTATAAATTGCATCAATCTATCCACGATCGTCTTTATAAATGTCGCCAAATGCCTTTCTTGACTATTTCAACCAAATCCAACCTGTCTATTTTTTTTAAGCCATCAGTTAAATTTGTTCGGGAAAATACTATTTGGCGGTTTATCAGCGACAGAATTTTTTCCGCTTTCGAACGATGATCTCTGTAAAAATGACTAGTGTTTACTTCGTCCATCTCTGATTGGTCTATTTTCATCAAAGCTGCAAGCCTGTACCAGTCCCGCAAAATTGCACCACTTAATCTGAACAATTCACGAGGATTGAGAATCTTATTTTCTAGCCTGGCTTCACTTTGAGGTGCAATTTTAGGAGGAACTTTATTCTGTATAGAAAAAAAAACATTACGAATTACAAATTTGGTAAAACGCTTAGGACGATTGCATTTTTTTTTCTCCAAAAATGTGTTCAAAAACAGCTTGCGTTGAAAGAACTTATGTAAACTAGAATACAACCATTGCAGACATTTTACTCCAACGAACGAATTTAGTATATACTCTCTGTCAGAAGGGACCAATAACGCTTTTCGGTGCATGTTAAATTAATAAGAAGCCCCCCCTCAGGAGTGTTTACTCTAAAATTCTGAAAAATCTCCAATCCTTATAGCTATCATTTTTTACTGCTCTAATGTATAGGAACGGTGACTCAAATCATACAATCTAAAAGAGAGGGACTGGAAACGCTGTGATAAAAGCAATGATGCTCGCGCGACATCCGTGATGTTGTCTGTGGCGTTGCAATTATCTGTTGCATGCCCTGACAACAAACAAAAAAACGCAAATCCTGTCTTATATTTTTGCTTTTAGGTATTTTTCTAATTTTCATTTACAGTGATAGTTTATATCACTGTAAAAATGAATATTATATTTCAAGGTATGTATGATTTAATATCCCCCCCCCAGTAGATAGTAATCAAATCTTAACTCTTATCGGAACCTTTACATCAAAATGGCGAACAAAAAATATCCGCAAGCGAGTACATATTTATTTCGAGCCCTGAAATTTGTTTCCCATACTTCGGACCCTGGACCATAGTTTAACTAAAGTTCAGGCTTTGTAATTTACATCTTTTGAACAAAAATTGACCTGTAGACGCACTTAACCGATTTCTAAGCATATATTGGGTCAAACAGAGCCAAAACCCCCTTTTGAGCGCTTGCGTATTGTTTTTGAGATTTGACATTGACACGGATTCCGCAAGAAAATTAAAACAATAGCGTTTTCAGTGTCCATGCTCAAATAAAAAAGCATTACATCAAATCACATACGGTACCTTGTTTTCACTTCTGAAATGCATCTCTTTTAATAGATCGCCTCGATTAATCTCTTCGAAACATTTTTCTAACATTTGAGGACGAGAATTTTCGTCTTGATTGATAACCATGAGCATTGCCCAGGCTTTTTCTATAGCACCTGGATATTTCTGGTGATTTAACCTGATTTCCTCTCGTTTTGTAAATGGAATATTCATTAGAGCTCCTAGGCCATTCCAATCCTCCCCGAGTATGGTGCTCATCGCGCTTATCTCCTCAACATTGAGTATTCCGCTCCCATTTTTGGCTAAAATGATATTGAACGGTCAATTAGTACTTTTATTATGTGGTATGCCTAAAACTGATCCTACCAAGAAAGTTAAACCGGGATTTAACACAGAGGACATGCATAACTATGAACTTTTATTGGTTAAAACTGAAATCTTCACTATTCTAATTTCTGTCCGCAGACGGAGAATGCTGGATTCAAAGTAGACTATAATTTTATTACCAACGTTATTAAAATGGACTTGACTAGCATGCAGTATTTTTACCCACATGATGGTTGTTGTGCAATCCCCCTTCCCCCCTCTCGAACTTTCAACTTCCACAGTTCACTCCATGAGCTGTCATATTCTTCCAAAATTACTACATTTCCAGCCGCTGGATACTCAATTTCTGTGCCTGTAAATTTGTCAACCACGAAACCATACTTATCCAGCTCGGAAGGGTTAATTCTGAATTCGTAAGAGTCACTTTTGTGATGTGGAAAATTTAAAGACATTTCAAGAGAACGACTCGTATCGATACGCTTCATCATTCCTTTCCCTCCTTTCACATAGTCTTCCTTTAAATGATCCTGTAACTGTTTAATATTTTCTCCATGTGTATTTTCGACAAAATCGCTCACAAAAACAACGGAAATATCAATAAGTCCCGTTAGAGGCTGTCTGCGATAAAGAGCGTACGCACAACAGGCAAAAGATTGATTCAGGTGACTTAAAAGTCTTCCTACAAAACCACATGTAGCTACTATGAAGCTATAAAGAGAGAAACCTTCAATTTTCATGTTCACAAATCCTTCGCTTTCGTTTACATCTATATCGTTAATTACTAGTTCCCAAACCATCCTTTTAGAATAAGGGTCGCGAAAACCATGTAGGACGTGCAGTTTAGAGTTGGGGACGATCTTCTTTAATTTTACCGTCAGATTCGCTGGATTCAAGAATTTTAGACCGTCTGGAAAGAATTTAACAATTGTTGGAGTATCTTCAATTAGGTTCATGTTTATTAGCGATTGAAAGGCAAAATTTTGATCGTCTTTTATCACGGTGACTTCTGTATCATTAGCCAAACATTCTGGTCCGATACTAAGCTTAATATCAGCTATCTCTAGGACACCTCCGTCCATGGTGATAATTTTTTTCACCTTCAAGAGAATAATACAATGAGTTTTAAGCAAAGTTTTTCGACCCTATTTCTATACACTTTATTTTATTCACCCCTCTTAAAAAAAACAACCAAAAATCTCAGAAGATTCTCAGAAGATCATTCAGAAGAAGTAGAATGAATAATAATAAAAATACTTTGCCGCACACGATTGAGGACTTGAGTGTCCTTCATCAGCTCTTTCAATTTCAGTCGTTTTTAATTTGGCTTCACTTTTAGCAACCAAGTACTTACTCCATTTTATATACTAATGCATATTAATTTCTTTACCTAAATTATAGAGCTTACTACGCCCATCTATACTGTTTAATAATGTTTAATAATGTTTAATAAAATAGGTATAATTTGAATACCATATTATCAGAGTGTCCTGCGTCACGTCCAAGTTCAGGCGGGTTTTGAGCCTCATCTAAAAACTGAATAAATTGTAACAGTTTAATTCTAGAAGGTCCTGCGAAGATCATACATTATCACGCTTTCACTTCTGTCAATTTTTTCCAATTAGTATGATGACAAAAGTTGATATCGTAATTACTGGCAACTGATTAGTTGAAAATGAAGAACTTATAGTGATGTTAATGAAATTTGTTTTGTTACAGGCAAAAGAGAACATTGCAGAACTCTACGAGTGTAACATCATCTCGCGTGAAAGATCGAAACTCCCGTATACTACCGGCTACTATTACCGTGCGTATTATCCCCTATAAGCATCCCGCATTATTAAAATTATTTTGTGCAAGAGATTGATTATCTTAAAAATCACATTTGTAATTACACTATAAGACACGATATTGTTGAAACATCATCTTCTAAACAGCGATTTTTACCTCGCGCCTGCATGCAACAATTAAATGTTAATTAACCCCCCAGAAATGTCTGCTTACCTGGCGGCGCCTCTTATAACACAGTAGAAAGGTCAAAATTATTAGCACTATCAAGCCTGCGGCCCCAAAAGAGACAGCAATGATCAAGCCAATATTCGATTTCTTAAGATCTAATAAAATGGAAAAGTTTACGTTTAAAACTATTCACGTGGGTGTAGCCAAATGTAATGCTGCGATATTTAGGGTTGTGCAAAATAGGTGTAATAGAGTTGTGTAGAAAAATACTTTGAACGTGATATTTATGGAACTTATATACCTGGTGTGAAAACAAATTTTCAAGTGGTTCATTGTAAATTTCAGCCTCCAACCGCAGGGAATAATGAGGAGGGAAAACATTATATAATGAACTATATTAGCTATCCCACTGGATAAAGGGACGGTAGTTTTGGTTTTTTTTCTGCTTCCTTATAGATGCATTAATAAAACGGACCATAAGCATACATTCGGCCATACCTTCACTTGGCGGCAATGATGTTGGAGTGCTTACATTCATACTTGAAGTGACGATTGTTTTTGTGACTAAAAACGAAGACAAAAATTGAACAGGATGTGCAACAAGGCACGCAACTTCGATGATTGATTTTAGACAGAGAAATACCTGACCAAACACATAACATTATTATGTAAGTTGCGTTGAAAATCTATTATTCAAATCTGCCGGTTTAGCCAGCGCGGATTATTCGACAAACCAGATCTTTTTGTCCACGGGAGTTCGTGCAGATTTTTTCAGAAACAAAGACAGTCGTAAAGGTGAACAGAAATCACCTGTTTGCCTGCTGCATTACGTTGCAGTTTAAGTGAGTGTTAAACTTTTCTATAGCTAAACCTTCAAAACATCAAAACAGCACAAATAATTATAATAACCATACAAGAACTAAACGTCGAATGTTGTTTTTCGATGATTTATTTCATTCAATGATTTTAGCGACTGTATAAGCTGCAAAGTGATATTTGTTTTATCAAGACTCTGAAGTATACTTTTGAGAACTCTTTTTAAAGTTTAAGCGATGATGTAGAGCCTTAAACGGTCGGTTAGCTCCTTGTCAAACGACATACCAGCTCGTACTTGTCAAAATAACAATGCATTCTTACAGCAAACACTGAATAAGCAAAATATAGACACCTAGATTATAAACTACGAGTCGTTCCTATTTCACCAACTGTTTCTGTGCTGTGATGACCTTAGCTTTAAATCTTTTATTACTGTTTTAATATTTGACTCCATGATTCATTTTATATTCTTAAAAAATAGTTTGAAAAATGACGGTTAAAATGCTGACGCTCTCATGCATGCCCTCTTTTTGTCTTAGCTAATCAGCAAGTTGTAGACGACCGTTCTTTCTTCGTTCAAATTTCGCGCATGCACACAACTACCATAACCATTGAATGTCCATGACATTTGGGCAACTTTGGATTCGCCTATGTTCTGTCAGAATACCCGGGTGTAATTCCTAATCTCTGGGCGGGATTAGTACCCTCGCACGGCACTTCGCGCCGGCTCAGGGATTACTTTCATTAACGGAACTACAAGAACAGTTTACAAGCACCAAGCAAGATTTGTGTGTTGCAAAACGAAAGATTAAGGAACTCAACCTTACATGCAATGAATTGACACAGGAGGTGGTATACATATCTATGATCTAGCAATACATCCAACTTGACGAACATCAATCCCACTTTTATCGCAGCCTCCCGAGAACAATTTCGCTTGAATTAAAACGCATAACCCTTCGTCTTCACAGTACCATACAAATACGCGTAACGCGGGCAAATTCGATATTAATTTTCTCGATAACATTTGCTCGATCTCGCCTAAATGCACAGCCATGTTGACATGTGAAATAATATTTTGATATGAATATTAATCCATATCAAAAGTATCAGACTATACACTTTACGGATTATCATGTTACAATTACAAAACACTTTTTTCGTTCTTTAATAAACCAGAAAATTTTACGTAAATTTGTAGCAAAATTCCTTCACTCCTTTCCACTCTCGCCTATACGCAGTATGATTTTGCCATTTTTTTCAAAATTAAAATTAGCATGCGCGAACTGGTATGCGCAGTGCAATTTGTTGTGTCGATTTATGGCAGGCATCTTTCCCACTTTTTTCCTCGCCTTCCCCGACACAGCTAACTCAAGCCAAATATAAATGCCTAATATAAATACATAAGAGATGCCTGCGGAGGAGGCATATCATCGCTGTGAACGCTTGAAAGTTGCATATTCCTATAAACTGCACCCCTGCAGCAAATTGAAGAAACAGGTATTTTTATGTTTCTTTCGACAACAATTACTGGAATTAATCATTGTATGATAAGCTATATAGCCAACTTTACTTTGCACTTACCCTTTGAAGACTGTGCGTTTGTAAAAATCCTACTACACCACAAAATAAAGACGAGCTGAAACAACTCTGCCATCTCAAAATCTCACTTGTTCACGACAACAACGACTAAATGAAAAGCAGGCCATGTTGGTTTCGTAACGAAGGGGACAAACCAACGGATGTTTTCCATGATATTGTATTGGCAAATTGTTATTTTCCGCAGCCACAAACGCTAAGCCAAAATGCGTAAGTTTAGTCAGCTAATGCGCAATGCGCGGTTTCCCAGCCTAACGTAGCGATGTCCGTTGCGAAAAGGTCTAGATCCATTGCACGTTCCAGTATCGCTCCACATAAATATTGCCGACTCAAGCAAATTTAAGTCAGTGCTTTAATGTAGACCTGCTTGTGAGTAAGCAACTGTCTTTTTTGCCTTTATTAAATAATTGGCGTATCAATATCTACTCACCTTGGAACTCTAGAAATCTACATATTCTACGCTATTTTTCTATCTATCATGCAAAGTTTGGTGCGTGCGCAAACCAAAGTAAGTAAATTTGGTAGATATAATTGTGATAACAACTCTACGCTATGTTCACATTTTGCACCGTTTGTTATCTTATTTCAAATAATCTGCGCACAATTCTTTGCTAATTTGTTATTTCGCATGCCGCATGTTCTAGTTAAGTATCGCTATTCCAAAACGCTAAATTCGTTGATTATTCCGCATGCCAAATTCAGTATCTTTTTGTTATAGCATTGATTGCCATGTATATATCGACATTCTGTGTTATATACTCAGTATATTAAAGTACTCATATCACATATGTTATCCTAATTAGCTTTCTGTGTTATATACTCGTTTAAAGTTAGTTTGTTTAATTGTTATATTCTAGTTCGAACCGTTATCCAGTCGATTCTTAATCGACTTCTAGTCGATTCTTAATCGATCTACAGTCCGTTTCCAGTCGTATTATCTACAGACAATCGTCTCTAGTTCGACTGTTATCCCATCGACGAGTTCGTGTTTGTCTGTCTATACCTGTAGTATCGTTGATTTATATTAAATCCTCAGATCATTGTTATCAGAATCGTCTGTCGAATTCGTTTTGTAATCCACGCACCCGTCTATTTAGTAGTTTCGTTTGGATCATGGTTGCTTTTCAAATTCTGTTCAGACGAAAGCTACATTTTAGATCGAATTTGTTGCGCTGCCACGAATTTTGTTACTTGATCAATTGAATGCGTCACGACTGCTACCCGCAAAAATATCATCGCCCGCCATATTTTCCCGAAAAGGAGGTAGTCACGACTGTGTCAACAGCTTGTGATCCAATCCGGTTAGCTATACCGCAATCATAAATCAATTACCACTTTCTTATCCACGAAGCTTTAAAAAAATCTACCGTCATGGCTGAGAAGGCACTTTCAATAGAACTATTTAAGAAATCGCGAAGTACCGCAAAATCAAAAATCACATGAAAAATAAACACAATCAAAGGGTTTATGCAAAACGAAGATAACTTAGGCTTTAGTTAGCTGTTGTCAAGGATCAATTAGGAGAACTGCACGATGAACTAAAAGCGTTCAAAGATGTACACGAGGCCTAACATAGTCAGTTAGAATCTGATGTCGACTTGCGTGAATCACATGACTACCGTATTTCTGTCGAAAGAATTGCGAGGGATTTCGAACACGAGACAGGCATATGGCTTCCTCAAATATCAAGCGTTAAGCGTCAATCCGACTCTGAACTTGTGAACATTCAACCAGAAGACTCGATAAGTCAAGTGGGATCCCGTGCTTCGTGTCGTACCGCTAACTTGTGGGTCGAAGACAAGCGTGACCGGCGCGAAAGCTGCTGCTAAAAGGGCCGTCCTACAAGTTTAAGTAGAACTTATCGAACGTTTGCTGCAAATCGAAATTGAAGAGCTTGCTCTTCAGCAACGGAGGAAACAGCTTCAGTTACCTGAAGAGATCGCAGCAGCCGAAGCTGAAAGAGAAGCTTACGAGAAGGCCGAATCCGAAACACGTAGTGATAGTTTACCCTCTCAAGTTAGAAACTCACAAGCGAGAAAACTCGAACCTGAAGAAAAAACACCCAGAGCTGAACACATTGAACTTAATACGACCCCAGCTCCACCCAACTCTCGAAGGTGACGACAAACTCCACACTGTTTCGGCAAACAGTACTTTAAATAACTTCCACGAAGAGTCCTTTAAGAAACTGGTCGAAGTGCAAGATCAACAGAGTCATGTCCTTGAGTTAAAGCCCTACAACTCTTCCTCAACCAAGCATGCAAGTTTTCAGTGGTAATCCCATAGATTATTGTGATTATATCCGTTCTTTCGAGCATCTTATCGAGGCTAAAACTACAAGTTCAAGTGCTCGACTGTATGACCTGATCCAGCGCACGTCTGGTGCTGCACAAGAACTAATGAAGAGCTGTTTAACAATGGGAGAAGATGAAGGTTATAGAGAAGCAAGAAGGCTGTTAAAGGAAAGATGTGGAAAAGACTATAGAGTTGCTGCGGCACACGTACAAAGGCTTATAAACGGACCGCAAATTAAGAACGAAGATGGGATCGCTCTACCACAGTTTTCCGTGCAATTGACAAGTTGTACAAACACTCTAGAAAAGATCGGATACTTGGACAGATTGAACAACTCCGATAATCTGAGGAAATTAATCGACAGATCGCCTTGTCCTACGAGAATCGAATGGCGAGACAACGTTGACCGAATCGTTGAAAGAGAAGCCAGAGATGTCAGCCTTAAGGAGGTAAATGACTTTGTCACCGTGAAGGCTAGAGCTACGACCCATCCCATCTTTGGGAAGATTTCTACCGCCGGGAAGCCACCGAAGTTTCAGAATCCAAAGATTAAAAGAAATGGAGGACCTGCAGTGTTTTCGAGTCAAACCACCAAGCACACGCTGAAGTCTCCGCTTTGTCAGTCAAACCATTGGTTATCTCGCTGCGACAAATTCCGAAAGCATTCGCAGGAGGAAAGACGAAAAGTCGTGAAAGAAAAGAAACTGTGTAACAACTGTCTTTCAACTGGTCAATTAGTCCGTTCTTGCACCAAAAAAAGCTTCTCGGCTGTAAAGTACAAGGTTGTAGCAGAACCCATTCTACATTCCTCCACCCAAAACTTGCTGGGGACAAGCGTAAAAGCGAAGACTCGAAGGAAAACAAGAATAAAAAGATTCCGGACGATCAAGATATTAGCGACCTTAAGCATGTAGGACGCGAACACGACGACGACGGCTATCAATACAATGGGGCATTGAAAAGAAATGAATAATTAAAGACCATGATGGGTTTTAGACGTCGTCTTCGTTCTGTTTACAACGGGAAAACGTGATTTTTTACGTCTTGCCTGGAACGGGTGCATTTCAGGACCTAGCGAGCACTACCTCGAATTAGGCTCTATAGAATTGTCCTCAACATAAACACAATGTTCTTAACGCCTTATACTCACTAAATCGTTACAATTAATAATATACAACAACAACTTTGCTGTAGCATTTATTTAAAGGAGAATTTCAGCCGCGTCGTCGTCGTGTTGCCGTTCAACATGCTTAAGGTCCCTATTAAGACAACCAACGGTTGCGTAAAGTCACGGATCCAAAAAGACAACTCTGTGACAGGTCTCGACTCTCGCGGTTATTCCAGTCAAGATGAAAGTAGCCGGGAGTTCTAGGACAGTAGGAAAATATGCCTTTCTAGTTTTGGGATCCAACACCACGTTTTGTACAGACACCCTGTTAAAGGCGGTGTTACGGCTATGCAACTTTCCTTGCAACTTGCAATGCAATTCTACTCCTGAGGCATCTAAAGTTGACAAATACGAACATTTCTCACGATCTGCCAACGTTTTCTTAGCATTCCGAACCCTCTTTAACTTCCCTCAAAATTATAATTGCATTGCAAGTTGCAAGGAAAATTGCAAAGTGTAACAGCGCCTTAAAGAGACTTGGCGCGAAAGAGAAAAAGACAAAATTAGCGTTCACTACAATACAAGGCGAAAATGAACCAATCGAATGCTCGTTTGTCAGTTTGAAAGTCTCCAATATGGAAAGAAACGCCGACATAAAGCTACCCATGGTGTATATTCGAGCCCCCGTACGTAGGTTTGCTAATTGGAAGCGACGTCCTCTCCGCATTTACAGCCTATTGAAGTAAGACAAAGCAAAGGCGAAAGGCCATTTGCAACTCAAACAGCTCTCGGATGGACATTGAATGGTCCATTGGGAAGAAATCAACAAAAACTCCAACTGTGAATTTCGTACAAGCTGACAGCAAACTAGATCAACAATATGAACGTTTTGTAACCTTGAGTTTAACGATCACCAGTACGATCCAAACCCAACGATGTCTCGAAATGATCTTAAAGCCCTTGAGATCATAGATGAAATTCCGAAGTTAGAGAACGGTCACTACGAGATGGCTCTGCCATAGAAAACATATCCACCAAATCTGCCAAACAACCGAGTTCAAGCCAAAAGTCGACTTCAGCTCTTGAAGAAACGATTGCGGAAAAACCAAGTATGCTAGCCAATGTTGAGATGATATGCTCCTTTGCTCATGGGTTTCATACCTGCGCATAATATTTTAGCGTCAAGACACGAATGGTTGATATTAGGTTAAAGCTACGAATAAGGTATGTACAGTTATGTGCGTTTTGAACGCGAAAATAAATCATCATCAAGCAAAACTGATAAACTCGTTGAAGTCATTAATTTATGTACAATCCTTCCAAAAAGATTCAGTAAAAAAAATTAGTGGTGATATTCGTAATAAGTTCTACTGGTCTAGTGGTGAAAGTAATGCTCTCCCAGGTTCCAAATTGGGGGTTCGAGTCCAAGCATGTTCGTTTTTCATTATGTTTTTTGAGAAAAGGATAAAGTCATTTAAAAACTATACCCATTGCGCAGAAGATCTCGTAGTCTAGTTGCGAAGACAATCGTCTCCAGAATGGTATTTCGATGGTTCGAATCCATGTGTACCTGTTTTTCATTATGTCCTTCGCGAAAAGGATAAAGTAAATTAATTAATGATAACCGTCCAGCACAAGATCTAGTGGTCTAGTGGCGAAGGCAATGGTTTCCGAAATGGCATGTCGATGGTTCGAATCCAAGTAGCGCTGTTTTTCATTATGTTCTTGGCGAAAAGGATAAAGTAAATTAAATAACCATAGCCGTTGAACACAAGATCTAGTGGTCTAGTGGAGACGACAATGGTCTCACAAGTAGTAAATCGATGGTTCGAATCCTACATAAACGTTTTTCATTATGAACTTCCTGAAAAGGATAAAGTAAATTAAATAACCTGAACCATCGAGCACAAGATCTTGTAGTGTTGTGATCGAGACGTTGGTTTCATGTGTCAACAGTCAAGGTTCGAATCTCGTTTTAGATGAAAATTTTCGTTATTAATCAAACATGGTAAGGTTATGGTGAATAAATTCGTGTAGGCTTCCAACAATCACCAGTTAGCCTTGTGGTAAAGTCGTGGACTGTCAAGTACAAGATCGTGGTATCAAGAACAGTATGGGACGTTCCTCATGGCTCTTGAAAGAAAAATAAAAAAAATGAAAAAACGAATAGGTATGTTGCTCCGGAAAGGTTTGTACTCGATTAATCTTTGCAAATCAAAGTTAATCTTTAGGGAAATCAGGGGATAGGTAGGGTGAATTAGGGGTATATGAGTACAAAAAGACTTAGTAAAAAAAAAAAGAAATTGGGCGGCCCCGGCTGCCGGGGCAAAGGAAAGGGCATAGGTGAGAAGGCAGCATATAAAATGTTTAAGTCTTTTTGTACTCATTTAAACCTCTTTACCCCTATTTATCCCCCTATTTGCTCCTATCTATCCCTGCTTTTACCTATCCTCATATATCCCTGATTACCACCTAACACGATTAAATGTTTGAAGAAAGCTTGCTTTGAAAGTCAGGAAAGCCGGGGGAAAGAGAACCCCCCTCAGTCTACTCCTCGCCCAAGGCGAGGGCATATTCGCCCTCTCGCACTACTCTTCTCACACTCACAAATTCTCACTTTATTACCTTGTTCTTTTTTGGTTTATCCCGGGTTTGAACCATCGGCTGTATGCTTCGCAGATCATCGTCTTCACCATTACACTACCAGTTCTTGTGGTGTAAGCCAGGAGTTTTTTATTTTACTTAATTCTTTTTGGAAGG